GGGGTGCAGTGGTGCGATCTTGGCTCCCTGCAAGCTCCTCCTCCTGGGTTCAAACCATTCTCCTGCCTCAGCTTCCCAAGTAGCTGGGACTACAGGCATGCACCACCATGCCTGGCTAATTTTTGTATTTTTGGTAGAGACAGGGTTTCACCATGTTGGACAGGCTGGTCTCGAACTCCTGACCTCAGGTGATCCACAGCCTTGGCCTCCCAAAGTGCTGTGATTACAGGCCTGAGCCAACGAGCCCAACCCTATGATTATTTTATCTCATATAAAAAGGCAGATTGACTGAGCCCCAGGTGAATGTGTAATTGATGATTCTTCTACCTGCTTCTTTCACATGAAAAATGTGCATTCATTGAAGTTGATCAAAAGGCTCAAAGGAGTGCAACTGCTTGCCTCTTTTAGCTTCCTTCCCCCTCTTTTTCTTCTCTCTTTCCCCTACTGCCTGCCCCTTTCCCTTTAAATAGCGAAGCTCCCTCTTTGGAATAAGCATGGGCCAGAGATGTTTCCTGTGGTTTTGTGTCCCTCTTTCCTGAGTATGCCCTTAACCTTGATAAAATAAACTTCAAAAATAATGGAGACCTGCCTCAGTCAGTTTCTCTTTGATTTACAACACTAAGCCCTGTGAAAAGCTCTTTGGAGAGCATAGGCCACACACAGTTTTTGTGGCTCATGTTTTTCCCAGGTGCACCCTCAAACTCTCGATAAATGTTGATTGAGGTTTATCAACTCAATAAACCTCAACTGATTGAGACTTGCCACAGTCTGTCATTTTGGTTAACAGTACCCAGACCTCAAATCGCAGTCTCCAGAGCAGGGCTGCAGCACCTGCGTGGGTGACCAGTCTGCCGGTGATTCTCATATACAACAAAGTTTGGTCTTTCTCCGGCAAACCGCCCCTGCCACTGGAGTGTGACCACTTAGGAAACCCTCAGGGAAGAGGAGAAGCGACCTCACGACCACGACAACAACCAAAGAAGCAGTGGGGCTGTGCTGGAGCCTGGCACTTCACAGTTCACAGCACCCCACGGACATCGCCGCAGGCACTGCTGATTTCCAGATGTTGCTCAGCTGGGCCAGTTCTCTGTGCCTCGCCACTGCTCTTCACCAGTAGCACAGATCAGAGAGGCTCAGAGCGTCGGCAGTAGATGGGATGGGACAGTCCAAAGTAAATCTAAAGTTTGAGCCCTGAAGAGAGGCATGAGAAGGACTTTTGCTGTCACTACCCACAGATGCATTGCCTGGACACAGGAGCGTGTGCATGTCAGAAGGGGCTTTTTTCTGGACACCCTCGAGTGGTTGTGGCCTCACTGCAAAGCAAATGCAACCTCTGTGACTGCCCCAGGCCCCCACTCCTGCCTCCGTAGACCGTCCCTCTGGTACCTGAGCACCTGCAGTGTGCCTGACACCCCCTTTCACTACACCAGCACAGAGATAAGCCTCCCAGTGGTCCTCAAAAATAGAATGATGGTGCCCATTGTACAGGAGAAGAAACTGAGGCTCAGAGAATGTTCCTCATCAGTAAGTGACATGGTTGGAATTCAAACCCAAAGGTGTGTTTGTTCCAGCCTGCTTTATGCTGTGATGACCTTTTTGGAATGTGTGTGGGGAAGGGGAGGTACACATGTTTCTAGCCTCCAGAAGCCTCCAGAGCCCATTGTGATGAAAGAGTCAACGAAATACTTCACGCATTTGGTTTGTTCTAGAAAGCAACCCTGGTGTGGGTGTTTTGGGGAAGCAGAGCCTTAGGTCCCCATGAAAACCAGAGGGGCTCAGAGGAGAAATTGAGGATTTAACACTTTTCATGGAGGAGGATTTAGTAGCTGCAGTTATTCAGCTCAGAGAGAAGCAATAGGACTAGAATGGTACCAACCCCAAGGAACAGAAAGTGGACCCATTGCTCAGTGGGGGACAGCTGAAGGAAGAGCTTTTAAACAGTAGAACTCTCCTGAGATGGAATGGGCTGCCTTGCAAAGTAGTGAGCTCCCCATTCCTGGAGGCATGCCCGCTAAGATGGCTATTCATGGGGCAGGGGATCCCTGGACTGAGTGAATGTCAGAAGTGATGATCTGGGGCCTCAAGCCTTGGCAGGTCTGATTGTTTGACTCATGACCCTGAAGTACTGCAATTGTCCTAAGTGCCTTCTGAATCCTCAAAGCTCCATGAAGATCTGCTCTGTGTGCCTCTTTTTTTTTTTTTTTTTTTTTTAAAGAGCAATTTTAGATTCACAGCAAAATTTAAGAGAAAGTGTGGAGACATACCATATATCCCCTGCGCCCACGCATGGGTAGCCCCCCCATTACTGACATCCCCCACAAAAGCAGTCCATTTGTTGTAACTGATGAACCTGCATTGACACGTCATCATCACCCAAAGTCCATAGTTTTCCTCAGGTTTCAGTCTTGGGGATGGACATTCTGTGGGGTTGGACAAATGCCTAATGATATGCATCTACCATTATAGTATCACACAGAAGTCTCACTGCCCCCAAAGCCCTCTGGGCTCCTCCTGTTCTCCCTGCCCCAACCCCACCCCTCACCAACTCCTGGCAACCACTGACTTTTTTTGTTGACTCTCCATAGTTTTGCCTTTTTCCAGCATGTCACATACAGTTGAAATCATACAGCACACGCCTTTTCAGAGTGACTTTGTTTACTTAGTAATAGGCTCTGTGTGCTTTCTTCTTGTCTGTTATGTGAGCAATATTTATTTATTCGTTTAACTATTCAGCATTTCAGCAAACACTGACCCTTGTTGGACGAGGCATCATTTTAGTGCAAAGGAGGCCACTGTGAGTGGATAAACGAGGCTCCTGCTTTCGTTCTGAAAACCAGAGTCCACTGGTACTGTGATCTGAATGCTTGTGTCTCTCCAAAATTCACCTGTTGAGACTTAATACCCAAGGTGGTGATATCAAGAGGTGAGGCTTTTGGGAGGTGATTAGATCATGAGGTCCCCCTCCTTGTGAATGGGATTGGTGCTCTTTAAAAAAGGCCTGGGAGAGCGTGTCGCCCCTTCCACCATATGAGGACGCACAGAAGGTGCCATCTATGAGGACTAGATCCTCACCAGACGTGGAATCTGCCAGTGCCTTCATTTTGGGTTTCCCAGCCTCCAACACTGTGAGCAATAAATGTCTGCTTTTCAATAAATCACGTAGTCTAAAGTGTTTCTTAAAGCAGCTCAAATGAACTACAACATCGGGCAAATCTGCAGAGTTCCCCCTGCCCTGCCCAGGTGGGCTCCTCCCTGACCACAAGCAGCACAGGTGAGGGGGCCACCCTCATGTTACCTCTAGGGTCCCCGAACTTGTTACGGAGTCAGTCACTATGTTAGCAGAGACCATGAGGCGCAGCTATTAGGTTGGTGCCAAAGTCTTTGGCATTACTTCTAATGGCAAGAACCATGATGACTTTTGCACCAAACTAATATTTTCATTGTTGGGTCCCACGGGCAGGCCATGACTGAATTCAAAGACCTCAGACCCTCTGTGCAGGCCCAGCCATGGGAACCTCCCCCTGTTTGCAAGGGAGGGAATCTCAAAGAGACTGAATCCCAAAGAGGCTGAGGCATTTCCTGGGACACTGAGCAAAGGGTTGGCTGAGACTGTGTCCCCACTCTGAGACTCAGTTTCCTCATCTGTGCAGTAAGAGTCTTGTAGTACAGGGTTGCAGGGAGAGCTGGAATGAGGCCTGGGGTCCTGCATGTATGTGGGGATAGTACGCATGCTTCCTCTTTTTCACCCAAAGACGCCTTCTCCTGGCTGTCCCGTGCTCCCACCCCAAGCAGCGAAGCAGCAAATGCTTCCTCTGAGCTCATGGAACTCACAGCTGTGGAATCTCTTGCCGCTCCCAGGGCCTGAAGGACACAGCACCCCAGGCAGTAACTGTTAGCAATGTCCTCTGAGGTTGCTCACCTGTCCCCCCACCACCTAAGCCCTTCTCCCACTCAGAAATGGAATAAGAGGTGGGGTTGGCCCAGGAGCCCCCCATCACCCCACACTTGGGCCAGGGTCGCCACTTCTTGCAGGCTGGGGAGCCTCAGGCCTGTGACTCAGTGAGGTACATTCTGACCTGCCCAGAACAGCAACATCCGCTGCCCACCCCCACCCAGGCTGCGGAAGTGACCTACTTGCAGCAACTCGAATCACGGCTGCCATTTATTTAGCGCCTATGACATGCGTGGCACTGCACCGGCAAGAGCCCACCTCTATCTTTGCATAAAGAGGAACGGCCAGGTCTTCTTTATGGCTCAGGAGACAGGGACAAAATGATTTGCCCAACAATGTCACCCACAGAGTGAGAGCGGAGCTGGAACTCTAACCCGGGCTGGATGCAGTGCTCATGCTCAGAACACCTGCACCATCCTACCCCTCTGCTCCGGTCAGCCAGGACCATGGGAAAAGGGTCACTAAAAACATCGGAGATAAACCACCATCACTTGCCTCCTGGAGGCACACCAGCCGGCATTCACAAATCCCTCCGGTCCGCTTCTCATTTCACCCTGCCCTCCCCAGAAAGCCAGCGAGCAGGCTGCTTTGCAGACACATAAACTGAGGCTCAGAGAGGTTGAATAGCTTGTCCAGGGTCACACAGGGCCAACGAGCGGCACGGTCGTGAGTGAAAAGCCAGGTTCTGGAGCCTCCAGCGGGCACCCGTTCCTGCTGCACCACGCCTCGCTGCTTTACTCCAGTGTCCACTCAAAGTACGTGAAAATCCAGTCACGGAATCCCTCACACACACTAGACACACACAAGCCTGTCTGTCACCTTGATTCAGAGAAGAGACGCCTACAACAGACAAACAGGGCAATTCCTCCTGCTGGGAACCCTTCCCCCATCGCCTGTCAGACCTGCCCTCCAGAAGGAAGGGAACTTTTCCCTACTCCCCTCCACCAGAGGGAAGCTTCTCCCTGCTGCCTGCCCTCCCTCTGTGCTGGGACAGCTTGTCCTCCCAGCAAAGGTGAGGCGGCTGGACCAACCCCTGCCCGGCACTCACCTTCTCTGGAGCAAGCGGCATGGACACTTCAGTCGCTCCCTGGGTACTGTGGGGCAGCCTGATGTCCCCACCGTCCCCACCCCTCCTCGGAGCCCAGAAGCCAGAGCTGGAGTGGCGGCGGGAACAGCTCATCTTTCAAGGGCTGGGTCGTGATGTCATCAGCCTCCTGGGCACGTCCCCCTCCGCCTCCAGCCCAGCTATGTGCCCTGCCCAGCCCGAGCCAGGCTGGCTGTGGGCCCAGGATGGCTGTGGGCACCTCCGTCTCCACTCCGCCACCTTCTGAGCCCTGGGGACAGGCGAGGCTCTTGGAAGATTTCCACGTTTGTGCAGCCCGGCTGCCCATTAGCGTCGTGGGGTGGCAAAAGCGTCCCTCCCGGCTGACTACAAAGTGGCCTGTGAAGCACCACGTGAATAAATTCGCCTCACATAACATTTATTTCTTATCATTATTTATTTTCCTGAGGTGGTTGTTTTGTGTCTGAGTTTTGGGTGTAAACAGTGGGCGTTTATGCGGAAGGTGTAAACAGAGGGTGGCCTGGTGGGCAAGGGGAGTCCTGGGATTTCTTTGTATGCCCTGTACGGCTCCCAAGGGCAACAGTGGCTGAAGTTGTCCTGTTTCCTGGGGAGGGATGTTTGCACTCCCCTGAGACATGAGGCCATTTCTCTGGAGATGTTTGGTGATGGCGTCCTCCCATGTCAACACTCAGACTGGCTTTCTAGGTTTTGCTCAAAGTCTTACTAACAATCTGCAGCACTTAACGCTCCCGGGGCTGAGACGGTAGGAGCTGGAAAGGGCAAGGACTTCCCCGTTCCCCTTCCCTTCCCCTGTCCTTCCTCGCCTTCGTCTTTGCCTTCCCTTTCCTTCCCTTCCCTACCTTTCCTTTTTTCCTTTCCTTTCCCCTCTTCTCTTCTCTCTTCTCTTCTCTTCTCTTCCCTTCTTCCCTTCCCTTCCCTCCCCTCCCCTCTGCTCCTCTCTGCTCCCTTCCCCTCCTCTCCTCTTCTCTCCTCTTCTCTCTCTTCTCTTCTCTCCTTTTTTTCTTTTCTTTTCCTTCTTTTTTTTTGAGACGGAGTCCCGCTTTGTTGCCAAGCTAGAGTGCAGGGGCGCGATCTCGGCTCACTGCAACTTCTGCTTCCTGGGTTCAAGCGATTCTCCTGCCTCAGACTCCCAAGTAGCTGGGACTACAGGTATGCGCCCCCATGCCTGGCTAATTTTTTGTATTTTAGTAGAGACGGGGTTTCACCATGTTGGCCAAGATGGTCTCGATCTCTGGACCTCGTGATCTGCCAGCGTCAGCCTCCCAAAGTGCTGAGATTACAGGTGTGAGCTACCGTGCCCAGCCTGGGACTTTCAAAACATTTTGTTTTAAGTCTTAAAACTCTTCCTTCAAAAGAGAATGGATGAGTGGGTCCAGTGGCCTGGGGAAGAGAGAGGAGGGCCAGAAGACCTCCCTCCAGCCCATCACCTCCACTTCCCTGTGGCTTGATTCATAGCAAGTCTACAAACCAGTGAGCAAGTTTGATCTCATTATCATGGAGACAGGGAAACAGAGTCCCTGATAAGTTCATGGGACGCTGCATGGGGCCTTTCCTGACACCCCTGGTTCTGTCCACACCTCTTGCTGCCTGTTTCCTACCACACCTGGGAATTTTTCTTGGTGGCCTGAGAACACCAAGAGGCAGAGACCCCGCCTTACTTATTGCTATTCATCACCCGGCACGTAGGAGGCGCCCTCTGCACGGAGCACAAGCAGTCTCTGGGAAAAGTGCCCAGGTCGAACCGCACTGGGGTGAGGGGAAGACGGGGCCGAACAGAACTGCATAGACGTGGGCTGTAGACATATATGTACATGTTTGTTTATGAACGTCCACCCTCCACCCTGATGTTCCAGAACATTCTCTCCACCTGTCTGTGTGTAAGGCACGGGTGCTTCCGGGAAGGCCTCCAGGAGTGGGCGGTGCTTTTGTCCAGAACGCCACAGTACTGACCAGAAAGCCACTCCCTGGTCACACACGACAGACAGACCAGTGGGAAAACTGGAATGCAGGCTCAGAGGGTAAGCGCTGATTTGGGGTTCATGGCAAAGCTCATGCAGAGCCCGTAGTTCCGCCTGGTTGGCACTAGCGCCCACACCTAAGAACTTTGTAGAGCCTCTGAGTCCCCAAAGTGCCTCCCAGCCCATGTGCCCATGACTGCCGTCTCCTGCCTGCCTTCTCTGCCTCAGTCTCCCTCCCCAGAGACCTTCTGCACAGCCTTCGGGGTCACTGTCTTTGACATAGGTATGAGCCCCCCAGCCCTGGTCCCGCACGGCTGCTAGCTGCCAAGTGTTCTCTGTACCAGGCCTTACGTAAGCACATGACCCTTCACAATAGCTGGATGAGACGGTTACCGGTCAGTATCTCCGACAGATGGAGAATCAGAGGCTGAGAGAGGTTACTTAACTTGACCTAAATCCTGCAGATTGGAAACAGCAGAGCCAAGAGTTGCACCCAAGTCTGACTCCATAGCTGCATATCTTCCCTTTCTCCAAATGAAAATGCAGCTTTTTAAAAAAGGTGATCACGGCCAAGCATGGTGGCTCATGTCTGGAATCCCAGCACTTTGTGGGGCTGAGGCGCATGGATAATCTGAGGTCAGGAGTTCGAGACCAGCCTGGCCAACATTGCAAAACCCAGTTTCTACTACAAAATACAAAAATTAGCTGGGCGTGGTGGCATGCATCTGTAATCCCAGCTACTCAGGAGGCTGAGGCGGGAGAATCACTTGAACCTGGGAGGTGGAGGTTGCAGTGAGCTGAGACTGCACCACTGCACTCCAGACTAGGCAACAGAGTGATACTCTGTCTCAAAAAAAGAAAAAAGCTAATCATATACATAATATGGATGTGTTGTTTCTCTATTATTTGAACTTAATGTGTACGATAAAAAGTGAAAATCGCCTTGCACAGTGGCTCATGCCTGTAATCCTAGAACTTTGAGGATCACCTGAGGTTAGGAGTTCAAGACCAGCCTGACAAACATGGAGAAATCCCATCTCTACTAAAAATACAAAATTAGTCGGGCATAGTGGCACATGCCTGTAATTCCAGCTACGTGGGAGGTGGAGATTGCAGTGAGCTGAGATCGCTCCATTGCACTCCAGCCTGGGCAACAGGAGTGAAATTCTGTCTCAGGAAAAGAAAAAAAAAAAAAAAAAAAAGCAAAAATCAACTGAAAAGTGTACTGCTTACAGATAATTAAGAATCTGATGCCAGCTGGGCACGGCGGCTCACACCTGTAATCCTAGCATTTTGGGAGACTGAGGCAGGTGGGTCACTTGAGGTCAGGAGTTTGAGACCAGTTTGGCCAACAATGGCGAAAACCCCATCTCTACTAAAAATACAAAAAGTAGCCAGGCATGGTGACATGTGCCTGTAGTCCCAGCTCCGCAGAACCCTGGAGGCAAAGGTTGCAGTGAGCCGAGATCGCACCACTGCACTCTAACCTGGGCTACGGTGCAAGACACCATCTCAAAAAAAAAAAAAAAAAAAAAAAAATAGAATTCGATGCCATGTTTCTGTGTGTTTACATATATTCATTATATAGTGTTATATATGTCTGTACTTCAATATATCCCTCTGTACATGCGCAGGATCATATTATATATGCTATTGTTGTAAATGGAATTTCTCCCTTTTCTATTGCTGTTTCTCCTTGCACTGCTCCGCCTCCAGCCATCATCACTTCCTGAGCATTCACCAAAACCTATGACAGCCAGGCCAGCTACAGAATTTATGGGACTCTGTACATGAAAATGGGGCCCATTTTTCAAAACGGAGGAAAGAAGTCTCGGTAAAGGCACTAAGCCGTGAGACTTTTTCCTTTCTTCTGTGGTCTCTCTTTTGACTTGTGTTCTCTTTTGTTGCTGTTTGTTTGGTTGTTTGTTATTTTGAGACCTGGTCTCACTCTGCTGCCCAGGCTGAATGCAGTGGTGTGGTATGATCTTGGCTCACTGTAACCTCCGATTATTTCCGGGTTCAGGCGATTCTCTTGCCTCAGCCTCCCGAGTAGCTGGGATATACAGGCACCTGCCACCATGCCCAACTAATTTTTGTATTTTTGGTAGAGATGAGGTTTCACCATGTTGGCCAGTCTGGTCTCAAACTCCTGACCTCAAGTGATCTCCCCCTCTCAGTCTCCCAAATTGCTGGGATTACAGGAGTGAGCCACTACTCCTGGCCTGTCATGGCATTTTAAAAAATTTGCGATTTAATGTTCTAAGTAAAGAAAAATTAAAATGTTAAATTATCAGCATGCCTTTTACCCTTCACCTTGATGTCGCTTCATGCCAGTTATAAACACAAAGACCAGTGCGTTTAGCTCTCATTTAAAACCACCAGGACTGTGCAATTTCTGTTTCATAGCCTGCAGATGCACGTGTATTTTGTTTTTACCAGGAGAGCAGACACACTGCAGAAAACCAGCTCATCTGTTTTCCTTTCACTTCTTGACATGTGCCTGTTTCACCAGCACTCTTTACCTTCCTCTCACAGGGAGTGGGGCGGGGGGAGGCTGAAAGGAGCAGGAACTCTGGGGCCCTGCCCTCCCCTTTCCTCCTAAGCACCGTTTTCGGAGGGTGTGGTTGGCCAATGCAGGGAAATGACATGAGTAAGGAAGGATGTGACTGGGTCTCTTGTCCTGGTGTCTGTTGGAATACCGCTGCCTTCTTTCACCGTTGCCTTCTTTCTGCCTTTGAAGCAAGTCCTGATTTGAATGGAAAGCGTGGCCTCCGGATGAAACACCTTGGACTCACTTTGAGCCTCTCTAAACCGGGCACCACCGCTTCCAGCAGAGAGACCGGAGGCGAGCTCTTGGAGAAATGAGCCCTACCCCCCAACTCCTGAGGTTGCCGGGCAAACAAGGGAGAGAGGGAATGCCCAGTTCCTTGCCCAGGGCTTGGCAGGGACTTTCCCAATTCAGAGACTTTTCTCTATTCTAACACTAAGAAACAGAAGTGTGTAGATTTAATCTGCTATGATTCTTTCCCCTAAAAGCTGGCATCTTATAAGCAGAGGTCCTTGGTGTTAAGGAAATATGTGAAGTCCTCTGCAAGGGTTTGTGAAATGGCTTTGGAAGATAAATGCTTAAAACAAGCAAAGTCCTGGCTCTTCCTGGTGCAAAA